GCACAGGTCGTCCACACGTCATTCCTTGAAAGTTGGCTGTGGCTCCCAGCACAGCCTGAAGAGTGGAGATTCCAGGAGACAGGCGGTTATTCTATGAGGGTGGCCTGTGGCCCCTTTAGTAGGCCCTGTGCTCACTGCAAGGCACTGTGGCGCTCAACTGGCAGTTAGGTATCAGGATGAAATCTTTGGGCCTAATGTCAGATCCTACACTGGTGCTGTGGGCCCTGGGTTCCTCCTGGTGCATGATAATATCCAGCCTCACATAGCGAGAGTATGGAGGCAGTTGCTGGAGGACCGAACACTGTCCGGGGGCTCTCCCATTGTCCAGATCTGGGAGGAGATCCCTCAGGACACCAGCTGTCATCTCATTAGGAGCATTCCCCAACATTGTATGCAAGCACATGGTGACCATAGAAACTACTGAGTACCATGTTGAGTCGCTGCAATGACATTTTTAGCTAAATGGACTTGACATTGCAGACAGTTATTACTAAATGCTGAAATGTAATGTAGAGGCTGACTGACATGTTGGTATCTGCATTTATAACATTGTGTAAGTAAAAATTTAAAACGTGAAGGCAATACAGAAACACCCTTCAATGACTGAAGCGTTGATGAGTGCTGAGGATGTATGGTTTGTCCACCAGAGGGCACGCTGCAACTTCACTGTTGGATTACCATGGGCAGAGTCCAAATGAGTAATCTAAAACTTGTTGCAACCATCAAACAATATTACTTTTTAAAGTATACTGTCATTGTAGTAAGGACTCATGAATAACAACATTAATGTAGAAATGTTCAGAATGTTTTGTGTCACTAAAAGGAAAGAAATAATTTTAAATGACTAAATATCAGCACGATTACTGCTCGTATAAATCCTATACAAGTCGAGCTGTAATTGTGGTGACAGCTGCAAATGAAAAGTTCAAGTCACCACTTCATCAGATAGTAGTATTTCTGTATACAGGATTCAATTACAAAAGCTACATGTATATTTTCCCACTACCTTGTCTCCCTTTAGACTATATCCAGTGTCCTTACTGTCAGCGGAGGTTCAACGAGAGTGCAGCTGACAGACACATCAAATTCTGCCAGGAGCAGGCCGCCCGAATGCCCAACAAAAGCAAGTCAGGAGATGCCAAAAAGCCTCCAGGTCGCACACAGGTACACGCACGCACGCACGGATAGGAGAGGGGACTGCATTTGAAATTAAACAGACAATAGTTCCCAAAAAGTTGATTCTGTTCATCTGGACATAGCATTTTAAGTGGGAGAAACATTTCATCACTCATTCAAGTGACTTCTTCAGTCTTTTGGGATTTCCTTACCTGGATGATTGAGCATGGATCTAAACAGAAAATAGTTTGTTGTTAGTTTTTTAAACATAAAATGTTAAAAAATGCTCATAGGTAGGTTTACAAAACCTATACTGACGATCGATATATGTGGCACTTCTGTGTTATGGCTAATTGCTGATAATTAAGAAGTTTTCCTTTTAAATCATTGTCTTTTATTACCATGGTGGGACTCCCACTCTGCAGCAGATGTAGAATTACAAGTTACTTAGCAACAGCTATGGTGCATAGCTAGGGAGTTAATTTGGTAGCCAATAAAAACAGCAGGGTTTAAACCCTTCTGGTTAAGAGCTCTGATTCCCCATTGTAATAAAAAGCCTTCAGTCGTTAATCGTTATGTCACTGAGCCTCCCTGCTGTGTCGTGTTTTTAGATTTGTTATGTGTTGCAGTTCTTTTTCTCCCCATTTTATAGCTTTGAGATTTTCTTCCAGATCGCAGTTTTAAAACCCGTTTTAGAGCCAAGCATTGACACAATGTGCATATTAACAAACACTACAACCACAAGCCGTTCTGCTTATGTGGTCGTATAGTGATATGATATGATATGATATATGTTTTTGTATATCTTTAATGTAACTATGTTAATGACTTTTCAGCCATGATATCCATAGCTGATCTTTTGTACCGAGTAGTTATTTTTATTGCCTTCTCTCTGTCTTCAGTACAAGCCTCCTGCTGCTGCAAAGAAGGCCAACACCCCCGTTGTGTCAACCATCCCTTCAGCTTCCTCTCGTTTACCCCAAAGATCAGGCCTTGGACAGCCCACTGGTACGAGACACAGTGCTATACTCCTCATCACCCCCCCCATATTGTGAATTTGTGACTGACTTCATTGCATCAAACAAAACTAATATGTGCATTGTCCTCATTTGTGTCACCCTCTCTCTCACTTAAGGAATCCCATCTAGTAAGGCCTCCTCAACAGGTTCAGTGAAGAATAATCCCTCCGGGCTCACAAGCCCACCGTCAGGGTTAGTACACATACGCAGATGTGTTTTAAATACTGTGGGCGAGTCCAGACAGGTTTTTATTTACTGATGTCAAGTGGGTACTGTTTTTTTTTACCTTTTATTGTGCATTCAGCTGTGTCTATTCAAATATCTGTTGGAACAGTCAATCTTTGTACATGTTTTTACAGCCCGGATTTATTTTGATTGAAGTGTCATTTCGAACAATGTGAGTCAAAACAAAATGCAACGTCAGAACCGAGAATAGAGCAAGGCTGCCAAAAAACAACAGTTTCATTTCGCTTTCTCACTTTTATTCTTAGTATCCAAGACATTATGTCTACGCGGTGTCTCGACAGAGAGCCTTTATTTCAATGAATAACTTTGAAACATCCTTGTCCTGGTTTTCTTTTTGTTTTTCTCTGATATCTCTGTCAGTGTGGGAAGTAAATCCCGAGTAGCAGGTTCTGGCTATGGATCTGTGAGGAACGCTCAGACTGGACTCAACAAGAAGAAAGTAGACTCCTACATATCTAGGTGAATAAACGTCTTAAGTCATAACCTCCACAGAAAGAGTGGAGAAAATCAATTGGTGACCTCTCCTGACCTCTGGTGGCTTGGTGAAGTATTACCGGATGAGAGGTGAAACGTCTTCAAGCAACTTAAAGAAGTCCAGACGCTTTTCTTTGCAAGCTCCTTTGACTACGATGACCTGGATGACTGAGAACCTTCACAGACATATTACATATACTACCTCTAATTTGACTAAGAATGTGCAAATTTCAATTTTACTTTAAGAAAGTTTTTAAAAATATATATATATATTAGGGATGAGTCTTACCTGCACATTCATTTAAACAAAAGAAACTTGCATGCACAGTTATATCAACCTTGCCACCCATACGTCTCTAGCTTCTGGTTGCTTTGATTATCGTTATTGCTTTGGAGCAAAACAATTTCCCATTTAATCAAGCTGAGGGAAAATATGGGATAATCCAGCTTACTTGGCATCGGCTTAAGTGGCATTGACATTCGTATAAAGACGTGTAAAATCCAAATAGATCTTTGCCCTGACGTTTCACTAGTCGCAACTTTGTCTGCACAAATTCTAAAGTTGCTGCTGTCTTTTCTGTTTTCTCAGGAATGATATAGATGGCGCGAACGATGTTGGGAACGGCGGAATGAAGAGCAAGTTTTGTCACGCTTGTGGGACAAAGTACCCTGTTGAATCTGCCAAATTCTGCTGCGAGTGTGGGGTCAGGAGGATGTGTATTTGATAGCAGTCAGAAGAAAACGAAAGCAGGGTTAGGATTTAGTTAATAAGAATTGAGGGAAAGGTGAAAGAGTAATTAATTCCATCTTTATTTTCCCACACTGATCTTATTTCCTGGCAGTAAAGATGGTGTGTGCAGTCACACTGAATATTATCCAAATTTCATTGCATAACTTACAATAAGGAGTGCACTTAGCTACTGTGTTTTGCGTTGACTAGTGACCGGTTGATCTCTGTGCCGAACAGATTTGGTACACAGATTAATCGGTTTAAATCATGATGTGGCTTTTACAAGCACATCCCGTAAGTAGCTTCTCTTTCACTGCTTCATTTGCTCACAGCATTGCTGCTGTTTCCATGCACTTATAAAATGAGCATTACTGCCATGAAACTACAGGTCATAGAGGGTTTAAGAATTTGTGAGAAATAAATATTTCCAGCAAAGGAGAGGTGGTTGGTCATTGGAAGGAAGCTATTAAATATTATGCATCTTTAGAAGGGAGTAGAGGAAAGATGAATTAAAAGTGGGATTGGAATAAAAGAAAGGAAACATGTTGGGTGGCTGATTAGAGGTGAGATTAACTGCCCTGCATCATTATCGCTCTTCAGCCCTTGATTTGAAGTGCATTCCTCAACCCCACCTGTCTCCACATTGATGTGCAATAATAACGACTACTGAAGAAAGCAGTGTGATTTTTTTATTTTTAAAAAAAAAAGAAAATAGCTTCAAATTTTTATCTTATCACCCTGTTTTCTTAGGAACCAATCCAAAAAAGGTTGAGTTGTTACAGGTCAGTGCTCCCTTTAAGGTCACTTAACAGGAAAAACCTGTTATCCCATATACATTATACCCAAATGTAGCATTTACTCATTCCCTTTATTCCCACTAGGTTTATACATTTATTTATTTTCTTATTCCTTTTCATTTTTACTGACTGAACAGTGATTGTATGGTTTTTGTTTGTTCTTTTATGTTCTACAGAATTAAAATAGGTTTCATTTGGAATTGTGTGAAACCAAAACACACCTCAGTGTGTTGAAATTGCTTTTTTTTTCCTTTCTCAACAGTGTTTCTACTGAGTCAGTGTTCAGTGCATTAAGGTATTTAGAATCAACGATACGGTGACACTAAAGTAATTTTGCTGTCGACCTTTGCTTGATGACCCCCACATAGGTTATTTTATGGTGAGACTTGGAAGAGCGGGGACAAATCTCTCCTTGAGGTGCATGATTAATTATCTAAGTAGGGCATTTATTCCCGGTAACAAACTATATTCACGTTACGTCACGAGAAAGGTTTAAGCCTACTGGAGGGTTGCGTTTTCCTGTAATGATAACGTCAGCTGTTAGACTGGATATGATTGTGCACCAAATGCCGTGTACATCCACCATCAATAAACCTCTTTGAAGACAGCTGTAATTGTGAGTCTGACTAATAAGTAACACACACCTTATCTTTGTTTGGGATATAAATATATTTTTTGAATAGTATGCCATGTTATATACAATGTTAGTCATCAGCTTAAATATACAGTTTAAAGACAGAAGTTAGCTACATAACAACATAATGTTATGTAGTACATAATGTATGCTACATGACGGGAAACAAATAGCTGCTGTGCTGAAAATAGCTGCAAAATGTAGCAAAGGTTGCATGCTTATATTTTCTATAATTGTGTAAAAAGGGAAAAAAAGTTTTTAGGTAGATAACATTAATCAGAGCACCAACTGATTGTGACAGTAAAAGCTCGTACTGTAGCTATATCCCAGGATAGGAAAAAAAAGGTCTGTGACCTGAGCTTAAATAACTGTGGCAAAGCATGCTTTTAATATATAAATCATTGTCAATGAGTAATCAACACAGTGTCATCTCAGACCGTACCTTGACACACAGCCTAAAACAACTCCCCGGACAGGAAAATTAAAAACAAAAATCGAGGAGCTTTAGATAACCAAGATAAAAAAGATCTGCCAGGGCTAGTTATTCCAATCCAAAGTGAAAGCAAAACTATATCTGAGCACCTTAATATTTCCTAGTCATGCTTCAGCAGCCACTACTAAGTGCAAGTTAATGTCGTAGCAAGTGCTTCGAAAACAAAGTTCAGTTTAAGCACCTTTAAAGTTAATCATATCCACTTTTTATAGCTAAACACAACTTCAGCTATTAAAACGCTTTGCTGTGATAATAAAAAAAGAAAACATGCACCTTAAACTGTTTGTAGTCCACATGATGCTGCATAAAAGGTTGTATATGCAGCTGGTCCTTAGTGTGTGGGAAATCAGGATATTAGGAAGACTTAGGAATTTCATTTCCGCTTGACTGAATATTTTGCTTCTGTGTGGCTGGGAAACTTATCTGAAGAGTCAGTAGTCATACAACACCTGAAACAGCTGCTACAGAAATATACTGGTACTTGACAGGAAAGCTTAAATGAAGTGGAAGCTCCTCCTCGCATAATCCACCGAAGCAATGCATACTGCACAGGAACTGACAGCGCATGCAAGTTTTGAGCTTCATGCTGTGATTGAGTTTGGATTCAGGTATCCATTTATAGAGAGTTTAGCATCTGGTAGCATTCAGTCATGGCGGAAAGAATTGCCTTGGCTTTGCACAGTTTTTTAGTCTGCTTTCTGTTTTTCGTCCCCTCGTTCCTCCTTCGTCTTGTTGCTCCCCTTCTCCTCTTTAAACTCTCAGTGGGCATTTTGATCTAGTCAGTAAAACACAGACACATGCTAATTATTGTTGAGTCAAGTGGATAAAGGTAAGGAATTAGCATTACAATGATAAATTATGAAGGCATTCTTAGCAAATATGTACTGTCACAGCAACGTAGCCTGCACGTTATTGAGGACTATTTATCCCTTATTGTGAACTGAAACACACCAACTTAACTCTTTGCACAGAAAACTGAAGCGTAGATTACAATCACCATACAATGCCACAGTATGTATGTGAGGTTTACTCAAAGCACATCAGTCACAACATTACGAACACCTACATAGGTCTCCCTCACTTCTAAGGCAGCTCTCGCACGGAGATGATTTCACAAATCCTTTGAAGGCGTTTCATAGTATCAGACATCAAGATGATAACATCAGGTCCTTATAGTCCTGAAATGTGAGGCTAACTTATTTGGAAAAACTTTCAGCACGATTCTCAGTTGGATTCAAAACCAAGTCAACATCTCGAAGATTTACTGTGGTATTCCTGTATTATTGTTGCCATGTTAAACTGTTTAGGCAAGTATTAAGTAACACCGGCTTAAATGCCAGGACCCAATGTTTCCACGTTTTGTGAGGTATACTGTATAACCACTGCATGCTGGGAACACTCCACAAGAGCTGCTGTGTGTGTGCCCGTTTCCCTGCTTCTGCATCATGAAGAACTGAGTGAAAAGTGGCTGATCTTTGCACAATGCGGTTTGCTCTGCTGTGTGACTCAGACTTCAGCAATGAATCTGAATCATATAATCTGATTCTGATCCAACTCTTAAAATTAAATTTGGGTGAACAACACGGTGCGTCACTGATCTAGAACTACTTGGGCTGTTTTTTCCCATGATAGTTTGTGTAAAAAACTTCTATAGCATTCTTTGAATTATCTCCCTCAGTAAGGTGAGGAGAGATTACCACAAGCATAACCAATGAGAGACCAATCTGCAGTTCCTGACTCTTTCGAGTCTCTCCTACTCTTATACCCTGTTACCAGGTAAAGTAGTTTAAGAAACAAACAGTCTTCTGTTTGAATTAACTCTTAAAGCCGGGCAGCTTCATCACCTGTCAGTGAGTCATCCACTGTCTGGCAAGATAAAACGCTTCAGCCAGCCAACATTCCATTCCGTCAGTTGTCAATGTTAAATGTTGCATCTCAGTCAGAGAAACTGAAAGAAATACTTTCCTAAGCTGGTCACTTCCAAGGTTTAAAGTACAAACGTGAACTTAAACTGCACGTTTCCACCAATCAGCTACAACATTTAGGCTGATGTCAGATGAAGTGAATAACTCATAGAGTGCAAAGCACTGCAATATGACTGCAATAGAAACAAAAATCATAGCAGTAATCTTCCCTACCAGAAAGAGTTTGAAAAATGGGCCAAATAGTCCAAGGTGTTGACTATCTAAGGCCAATCCAACTGAGCATTCATGTACAGAATAAACTTGATCCACAGAGGACCTACTTTGCAACCCAGAGCACCTCAGTGCCAGACACCCTCAGAGAACAGGTGCACATACTGAATGGTAAGAGCTGTAACATGAGGCGAGATGAGGGCGACCTTCAAAATATCATGCAGGTGGTTTTAATAGTGTGGCTGGGTTAGGCTTGGGGTAAATTTCTTAACATCAGATAATGTGTAAAAAGTCAAGACTTACTGATTTCTCACGACAATGGCAACTCATCGAAATTTCGACGGACGTGATCAGTTGTAGAGTCATCTGGAGAAACGGTAAACTCCGCATTTTGCAGGTTAGGTTATGTAAGGTACGCACAGACGTCTGCAGAAGAGAGGTGAGACCTTTTAAACTTAACAATGAACTCTATGCAGTACGATCAGCGACTACAAAATCTGAAATGATTATTAAGCTGCATAGCTAAACACCTGGGTCCAGCTACGATTATGATTATGGTAATGCAATGCCTGACTGTGTAGAGCAGTGGTGAACAGGTGCATGTTAAAAAGGGCTACCTTCTAAATGTATCATCATTATGCATTTTATCTGATAGATACAGAATAATTATGACTCACTGCGTTGCCTGGTGTGCAGTTGCGTAGCTTGTGTGAGAATACTGAACAGTCTGAGTTTTGCAGCAAGCTTGTGATTTCTTCTGTCTTGAATGAACAAAACATGAAGTAGTCAATGTTAGTCATACCACTAAAGCTTGTTCAAACATTCAAAAAGCAACTAGTGTCTTTTGTTATTTTTCAGAATGTTGGAAGGACATATTGCTTTTAATATTTTTGGTGGTGTCCATAGATAGAAGAGAAAAATTTTGATGTTGAGCAATATTTCTTCCGATCAAAACCTTACAACAACTAAAGGCAACCCCCCCCCCCCCCCCTCCCCCAAACTTTGCTTAATTGTAAATACTGAGGTTTCTTTCTGTTAAAAGGAATTGTTTTACTTCCCACTGTCGCCAAGTGCTTGCTTTCAAGGGGTGTCTGATTGTTGGGGTTTTCTATTATTGTAACAGAGAGGCGACTGTAGTTGTGGGCTTACACTGTGTCTATATATAT